GCTACATTTATTCAGCCACGACATGGCGGCCTCAAACACCATCTCCTCTTGAGGCACATTGAGATGATCGCTGGCAATGATTTCTGTCAGCTTGTCCACGCACAGAGACTGAAACTCCTCCTGGTGGGGAAAAGAAAACACCAAAAGAATGAAGTGTGAAAGATCTGCTTTGTGGACAGACTCCCTATTCACAGGAGCTAATCACCTGTAGGCTGCAGTGTGGCTGCTGACAGGCAGGTAGATTATCTTTGTTAAGCCCCTTTCCCACATGAAACCCACAAAAGTGACAGCTTTAATTATCCTGGTGAGGCACTAGTGGCATGTGTGAAGACTGTGTTGGGTGAATCTGATGATAGTGTTCATGATGAGCCCTTTAATTTATCCAGGGAAAACTGACTGGATTAAACTCTCCTTTCCATTTTTGTTGATAGAGTTGGTTCTGAGGAAATATTTGAAAATCAGTGTAAAGATTTTTCGACTGTCAGAGACACGTATACACATGTGGCTGTAAAAGCTCCCTAAAATTTTTATTAATTTAAAATATGCTATTTTTATCCTGATAACTTGTTTTGTCTGACCAGTCCAAACCCCAAATATATCTAACTTACAATAATACAGTATATGAAACAAAGAATAGCAGCGAACGCCTCACTTTGCCACCTCGGTTTGGCATTTCCACTTCATAAATGACTTATATGACAATTCTTGTTCAAATAAATGCATCGACTAATCCTTTCAGATCTAATTTAATCAACTAGATTAGCCAAAAACAGACATTCCCATCTGGTTATTTCATCTATAAACTGTTGCCTACAGCGTGATAGACTTTATCCATATTGCCCAACAGGCAGTGTCCATCTTCAACAATGATTCCCCCCCAAAAAAATCAGCATTAATAAAAACAGAATGCAATGATCTCTAAATCCTTTTAAACCTACTTTCAATAGGAGACAGTACAGTGATACAGTTTTTGTCACTACAATGACAAGATACTTAGTGTATAAGCTGCTAAACTTTTTTTTCTGTAAATATGCACTCATAATGAATTTGTTGCCTGCAAAAAGTTAGGACAGGAACATGTTTACCACTGTGTTATATCACCTTTTTTTAAAACCACACTGCATAAGTGTTTGGGAACTGAGGACACTAATAGCTGAAGTTTTGAAAGTGAAACGCTCTCCCATTCTTGCTTGATATATGACCTCAGTTGCTCAACAGTCTGAAGGTCTCTGTTATTGTATTTTTAGCTTCATAATGCGCCACACATTTTAAATAGCAGACAGGTTTAAACTGCAGTCAGGCCAGTCTAGTGCCTGGCTGCACTGCCTGGCTGGTTTTTCATGCAGTACCACCTGAGAGGTCAAAGGTCACAGGCATTCAGTGTTGGTTTTCAGCCTTGCCCCTTACATGCAGAGATTTCTCTACATTCAATTGACTATAGCTCGAACAAGATAGGCAAATCATTTAATTCTGTTTTTAGTTAGGTTCCAGCATTTTGGAATCAGGCTGCGTTTGACCGCTTTTGCAAATACAGCCATGTACTAGAGTCAATAGTGACATACTTACATATCAATAGGTCTCAATCAGGCTCTCACCTGCTGAGAAACACTGGTGAAGTGCTCGTGAATGTAGTCCATGCTGCGTTTCTCCAGCACCTTACAAGAATGGGCCTCGGCAAAGCAGTGGATCCCCACACAGTTCATCTCATCCATCTGACGCTCCATAAATTGACAACAGGCCTCTCGAACAGCCATCACATCCAGCAGGTTGGCTGCTGCCAGCAGAGCCTGGATGCAAATGTGATTGGTTTTTAGAACACACACGCTTTGATGAAGGATGGTGTGAAGGAGAAAAGATAAGCGCTGATACTTTACCTGAACATTTGCTTTAGAAATGTAGACCTCTGATGTGTAGGCGTAGCTCACCAGCATGCCAATCATCTGAGGCTCAACACCATTGATGGCAACACGCTCCTGTTTGGACTCGATCAGGTCAGTGGAGAACATTGCCTGAGGAGACAAAATGAACATCAGGACATTTTGTGCCTGTCACTGACATGACTGTGAGGGGAGCTGTGTTTACCTGGAAGTAGGAGCTGAAGGAGGCCAGCACGATGCGATGGCAGGGGAACTCCTGTCCTCCACAGCACAGGGTCACATCACAGAAGGCGTTGTTGAGCCGCAGGCTGTTGAGGCCCTGCAGGACAGTGTTGGGGTGCCTGGACTCCACAAATAGATAGTCCTCGCTGCTCAGGGAGGCTGCGGGCGCGGCAGCAGCGGCGCTGGCGTCCTCCTGGATCGGGAAGGTGACGTTTATAGTGGACGGTGAAGGCAAACCGGCGTTGACGGCGATTATTTCAGCCATGTCTCACTACTCTAGGCAAGCCTGGGAGGTGAGTGGAGGTAAAGAAGACAAGACAGTTAGGACGGCTAATTCACACTTTAGATAAATAAACGACTTTAACATTAGCTGGTCGAGTACTTCTCAGTAAGTTAGCTTTAATTTAAGAGTGACGTTTGTAAAAGTAGCGGGAGAAGCAACAAGGCGGAGAGACGACCTGAGATTGACTATCAGTTAACGTTAGCCTACTAATGAGGCTTAGCGGCACCGAGGAGCCGTTAGCTCTCAAGACAAACTAATCCGCCGTAGCACGAGACTACTCAGCAGGTACACACAGGTGACATTAAACGTTCAGAAGCTGTGACAATTAAGCACATTACCTGTAAGACATAATCGTGACCGCTATTGAGCGAGCCCAATCTCCCCACACACAGTTAGATGAACGTTACGGTCAGCGTTTAAAGCCTCTCACCGGAAGTCCCGCCCACAGGGCAAGAGCTATCACCGCCGAGTACTTCCGGCTTTGCTTCAGGACCCGCGCCACACCAATACATTTTTGAAAAATAATAACATTGACTCAGAAATTTCTCTTTGCTGGGCAAATGTAGCGTTTGGTATCTATAATAACAATAATGAAAAATATATAAAAATGTATGTGGTCAATTTAATTATTTTTAAGCAAAATATCTCACATATTTAATCATATATTTATGATACAAATATACATATTAATACAGTCTATGGAATCATAGTCATAGACCCAAATTCAGCCATTCTAAACCTTTATTTATAGCATTTGAAATTGAATCTAAACAGTACATTAAAGGTCCAGTGTGCAGGATTTAGGGGCAGCTATTATCCGAAACGGTAGCCTATATATTTATGTGTATTTAAAAAGGGGCAGTGCACATTAAATAATATGACACACTTAAGTCAGGAAAATGTGCCAGATTTAGCCTTACAAGCTCATTTTCGTCTGCAGTCCCTGGCAGGTTGATGGTATATGTGTATATAAAGAAAAAGACATTAAAATAATATACAGAAGCACAGATAAAAGCAGATAGGATATATGGTATGTCCATAGAAGGCCACATAAGCACAGAGCAAGCTATAACCATATACAAAAGCACATAGCAAAGCACATTAGCAAAAACAACAAGACATAAGCACTATTACTAAAACAATGACACTCCACCAAAAACAATAAGAACGTACTATACAAAAGTACAACATAAAATGCAACATAGACCAAAACACATAGCCACAAACAAACACACAAAAACACAATTAGCAAGACAGTCACATAACCATAAGGCTTTTTGATGAGGGAACCAGGGAGACGCTAACTCCTGTATCGGCCTACAGACATCATCCCTGGAGTGGAGCTCCTTCATAGTCTGCTATATTGTATTACAGTAGCGGGATTTATCTTGTGTGGGGGAGCAATAACTTATAGGCTATCAGGGGGCTTATAGCTATGTCCTGTCACCTTCTGTCATTCATATTTTTCACAAAATCACAGTAACAGTATTTTATTTTGGGGGGTAAAAACTGAACAACTCAACCATGTGTGCATTGCTGGTTATTGCCTTCTCATGAGCCAAAATTACCATCAAATCTATTTTTTTCTGATGCACCAGCTGCCTCTTCATAATCTCTAGCCACAAAGTAGATGCTTGAACACATTTCCAAATGATTAAGCCTAATTTTTGTTATTTTGTTATTTTGTTTACCTAGAATTAGACAATTTTTTTATGCACAATAATATGCCGTCAACTTGGTGAATTTCTTTCTTTATTTGTCTGTTTTCCTCACTTGCAGTAAATTGAGCTATTTTGACCACTGGTTTTTTACCATACCTTGTGGGGACCAACTTTTCAGTCCACAAATGGAAGTTTAGTCCCACCAATATAATGAATACGAGATCAAACAGACACACACATATGGATCAGAGAATATTAGATCAGATACTTTTTTTTTATTAGATTTTATTTATTTGAAAATTAGTGTTTGTTGCTTGTCAAAATTATCATAAAAAGCATGACAATATAGATTCAGATTTAGCTGCTAATATTATAATTTTATTGTCTTTCCAGAGGCTATTGTTGATATTGTAAGTCCTTGACACACCTGTTATGCTGTTTAAAAATTGGCTCATTTCTTAAAGTTGTTGCTGAGAGAGATTGCTGAATCATCTTTATTTAACAAAGAAAATCAAACTCTTTGCTGTCTTTACAAAAGATACAGACTCATTTTTGGTGGCAATTAAGCAAAATCACACAGAAGGAGTGGTGTTGTACTGAACATCATCACGACTGTGATCAGGACGTAGGCACGCAGCCACGGGCCAAAAGAGGACAATAATAAGTGACAATACATTATGATTTGTTTGTTTATTTAATGGACAGCATGGTGGTGTAGTGGTTAGCACTGTCGCCTGACAGCAAGAGGGTTCTTGATTCAGTTCCAGGAGGGAGCCCTTCTGTGCGGAGTTTGCATGTTCTTCTCGTGTCAGCGTGGGTTTTCTCCGGGTACTCCGGCTTCCTCCCACAGTCCAAAGACATGCAGCTTAATTGGTGACTCTAAATTGTCCATAGGTGTGAATGTGAGTGTGAATGGTTGTCTGTCTCTATGTGTCAGCCCTTTGATAGTCTGGCGACCTGTCCAGGGTGTACCCTGCCTCTTGCCCAGTGTCAGCTGGGATAGGCTCCAGCCCCCTGCAACCCTCAAGAGGATAAGTGGTTACGAAAATGGATAGATGTTTATTTACATATTTATTTCGCTCCGCCAACACAAATAGTTCTGCAGCTGTACTGGGACTGGACTGTTGTTAAGCAACACATAAACCTTCATGCACACTTGCATCCTGGAGGTTTGCAGTGAAGTATCCATGTTTCTTTCCCTCCCTTTTGTCCTCTTCTGACGACCATTTATAATTTAACCCAAATGCTGTTTGTGGAGATATGTTTACCTTTGTGGTGCAAGGTCTGGTAATGGTTGATTTAATTAAGGGTTTAGAACAATTGTAAAGGGGAGTAATACACACATAGTTAAAGTTCTAGTACGGTTATACTCTATATCGGCGCTCATTGAATGCCGTCAGTCCAATTAAATTGGTTGGAACTGTTGCATTAATGGGATTATATACCACTGTCCATGTGTTTTTTAGATCACAAACAGCTGTCCTTTATCTTGCCAGGTGTCTCCAGTGCGTTCTTTCTGCGAGCAACAGCTTCCAGGATCTTCTTCCTTGGTCCCAGCTGGATGCGAATGCCTTTTAGGTCTTCATCAGAGCAGAGCATCAGCGCCTCCAGGTCTAGGTGCTCTCTGCTGAATGCAAGAGCAAACTCTGGCAAGGAGATGGCAGATAAGAACACATCCAGAGGAGAGGTTTCCTCATCATCATCATCATCCAGTCCCAGATCTTCCTGATCCCAGGGCAAATCGGTGTCACCGTTCCCCTCGAAGCCGGCGGTATCCTCCTCTGCCTCAAATAACTCGTTCTGAACGAGGTAGCCGAGACTTTCGTTGGTTCCGCTGGGGATGTCCTCCGACTCCAGCCCCATCTTCTTCATGAAAATCAGACCTCCAAGGCCGGGCCGGTTGAAGATAGACTGTTTGACTTGGCCTGGTTCATCATTGTCATAGTCGTCGAAGTCTGCCATTCCTTCTTCATCTAACATGCTCTCATCCTGCTCATTGAAGACACCCAGAAACTCCGGCTGTTCTGACGCTACACTCTCCTGTTTGAGGAAAATAACATTCCCATCTCCTCCTGCGCTCTGCAGCGTGCCTTTATCTTTCTTCCCAAGTTTCTTCTGGAGCGTGCCTTTAACCCTGGCTGTAAGGGAGCCAGATTTATCAGCAGCAATAAGCTTGGAGAACTGCTCATTAACACCGGACATGTTGCCACCATCTGAGAGTGCTGACGCCAAGCTGGCCTCTGAGACAGGCCCAGTATTGCCAGCTCCACGCTGCATTTTATCCATCTTGCTCTGGTGTTTCTTCTTCACCTTCTCACAGAGTTTCACACGCTTCTCCGCTTCTTTGACGGCCTCCTTCTTTAGATTGGCAACCTTCTTGGGATTTTGGTTGGTCTGCTGTGAGGCGGCAACATCCAGGAACCGCACGCAGTCCATGCGGTCACGAGAGGCAGCGACATCCATTGCTGTGTGGTGTTCATTGTCCAGTGCAAAAAGGTTGGCACCAAAGTTGACCAGAAAGCTGAGGATGTGCATGTGGCCATTGGCTGCAGCGTGGTGCAATGGTGTGTTTCCCCAGATGTCACTCCTGTTGGGGTCTCCTCTGTGTGACACAAAAGAAAGATTCGATTTAAAGTAATGATCTGCAACTTTTTATTTTTTAGCCACTCTCTATCACAATTGAATCATTTCATCCCCACTCAACTTCGTGGAGCGCTAAACTAGAAGTAGCCAGCTTGGCCGGCAGAAGTCTCTGGTGCACCTACTACATGAGCTGCACAGTGCAGAAGCAGTGTGGATTAAGGTTGTGTGGGTCCACCCACAGCCCGCAGGTGGGGCAGTTCGGGTAAACTTATTAGAAAATACTGGGGGTGTTGGGCAGGCGGGGCATGAAGTGACAAAGCAGCATTCTGAGTTAAGTTATTAATAACTTACAGAAATGTGCAATAATAATAATTTTTTTTATGTGATTACAAACTAATGAGAACATTGTTCTAAATATTATGTATCATCATTTCTGTCAAAGATGCACATAGATCCCATTTACTAGAACTTTAAGTTAAGCTAGTTATCTTAGCTTAGCGCATAGCTTGGCTGTGTCTTGGCAGGGATCAGTAACTTCCCAGAGTCTCCGCTGGTTGCCTGGCAACTGTTCCTAGCCCTAAAAGTTCAACACATAACCTTTGAATACCCACAAAGTGTTGTTTTGACACTTTTGTACAAAGTAAAAGAACAGGATATATGGTGTTAATTAGCTTTAGAGGTGCTGGTACATTCTGTTATATTTGGACAGAGCCAGCTAGCTTTATCCCTTAGCTTCCATTCTCCATGCTAAGCTAAGCTAACGGGCTGCAGCCTCCAGGTCCAGCTATATATTTACAGAAATGATCAATCCTTTCATCCAGCTCTGACCAAGAGTAAGTGCATTTACTAAACATATAAAATGTAGTCCTTTAAATGTAGGGTAAGAATTAACATAAAGTGTTTCAAAATAAACTCACAGCATTGTACGTACCACCAAACATGGCTGTACATAATTGGTAAACTATTAAGATTTAAAGTCCTCCAGTGCTGTGCGTCATTGTCACAGCCATAAAAATCTTGATTGCTGTATCTAAGCAACAACTTCTCATAAATTCCAATGACCAAAGCGGAAAAGCTTCAGTTATTTTTGGCCACGTAAGTGAGGCATGTGTTACGCCCTACTAAATATCCTCCAAACATCTTTGCTGAACTTTATTTTTCAGTTAGAATGCTGCTCTAGATTTAAGCCTGTCTTTTGTTGTGTTGAATGAAGAATGGATGTGGGGGTGGTGGGGGACAGATAAAGAGCTCTTTTGTTTTACAGGGCAGCTTTGGCTGATTAAACATTTGGCTCTTCTCACGGAAGAGTGGAATTAAGTTTTAGCTCATTATATCATGACATGTGAACACCATCTTGTGTTGTCAAATCCCAGATGACATCCAAAATAACTGATGCTATGCATAAGAAAAATGCTTAAAACACATTATTTTTCAGTCATAAATTTCATTGGATAATATGTTAACCTTTGCTCAGTGAACACTATTTATGGTTCTACTGTAGATTTTAGTTTTGTTTAATTTTAGGGCATTATACATACAATACTGTAGCAAGATTTGCAACAAAATGTACATATTTCTATGTCTTAGTATGAAAACAAAGCCAAAAATCAAACATTTTAGTAATTATAAAGGGCTGAGATAATAATTATGGAGCTAAAGCTTGTTGTGGTATATTGAGATGAAGCACAGGCCATAGATAGGAGTGTGTCATACTTACTCTCTGCTGCATATGAGCTGAAGAGCATCGACATGTCCGTGGAAAGCAGCCAGTAAGGTGGGAGTCATGCCATCCTCGTCCGCAGTGTTCAGGTCCTTCCTCGTGGCCTCCTTCAAGAGGTCCAAGTTTCCATCAATCGCTGCTTTGTGGTACCTCGACATCTCTTCAAAAGAACAGAAAAGGTCCAAACAAATCTGGCACTTTCTTTCACTCTTTCCCCCCCAACAGTCCTGTCAGATGCACAGACTGAGTCGACCACAAACCCCGAGCAAACAAAGTGATCACTGGGCGTCAACATATCAGCAGCAGCTCAGAGCCATAAAACAAAAGCAAAGTCCAGGTCACTGCTGTCAGCTGCACAATTTCACCATTACTGCTTGAGATCATCATCAAGAGTTATTTAGAGCTTAATTATTAAATGCGAACACAGCAAGATTTCCAGTGTTACACGTTTGAGGCACGTTTCCTGCAACTTTATAATGCTTGTTTTTATTTTAACAGCTATAGCTACTACGTACAGATTAAGATTTAACATATAAATGACAATGACCTTATAAAATATGATTTTAAAGTACATAAAACTAAAAGTTAAAATAACCTTCACCTCAACCAGCTATAATGTTAAAGATATAGTCCAACAAACGTACTATAAAATATTATAACACACTGCATAGTGACTCATTATGTATATTTAAAGAATCTTTCTGTTGAAGGACTTTTAATTGTTTTGGAATATTTTAGATATTTTCAGTGGTGACCGTTATCAAGATAATTCAGGGGAGGGAGAGTGGAGTCAGTTGGTACAGGGGGACAGTTGGGGCAGAAAAGAAATGCCTATGCTATTCACCATGCTCATACTCAGCCACACCCTGTTCACTTTCAAACACAAAGTGGAGAACTTTTTTTTCTCCAAATATCTAATCAATTTAGGAAAAAAAAATTTTTTTACAAATGTTTTCAAAGAAATGTGTGAAGTGATATTGTAAATATAAGGTGTTCACATTAGACATTTAAAGGATTGTAGATCGATAGTTCAAACACACACATATAAATACATATATGCAGTCCAGTCCTATGAACAGATGAGATACTGCGCAGAGCCCTCAAATTCCCAGGCCTCTGGTAGAGGACGTGAGCATAAGGAAGACACAGGTGATTCAGATATATAGGTA